ACAAAATATAAATGGAGATGTGATAGTACCAAAACAATTACAGCAACATCTAAGCAGTTCTTGGCTGTGTTACTCCTTTTTTTTTTTTTGGTTCTTTAAGAAAAGAGAAAAAGATGCGGTTACGTCATATTAGGGACATCTTTCCGTTGTTGGTTTGTTTGTTCGTGTTTCAGATTTTTTGTTGTCAAGTGTTCTATTTTTCACCATTTCCTGTACCCAAAAAGAAATGCATTTTTTTAGTTTATGTTAAGGTATTTTATGAACTAAAATTGAGTTGTTACACTTTCATTTATGTTATATAGGGTTTTTTGCAAAAACCACCCCTGTGTAATTTCGAATTGCTGAAAAAGACCTCGTGTTAAAACAATAAGCATATACCCCCCTATATAAATTAGTCAAAGGCAATAAAGCCCTTGAGAGCTGGCTGTGCTCTTCACTCGCCAAGAATGCAAGTGGGGGTTCGTTTTTTTACACGAAAGTACCAAAATGCAACCAGAAATTTCATAAGTACCAAAATAAAGTTTTTTAAGATTTTCAATTGAGTCCTTTATATTTTCAATTAGGCCCTCTTCTTCAACCTCAAGAGCACCAATTTTTTTCCAATAAAAACCATCAACCAAACCCAGATCTGAGCATGAAGTTCATTTCTATTCCAAATCCAAGAAACGAAAGAGAAGAAAAACGGTGCCTCAAACTTTTTCGGCACATCCCTGCCCAAACAAAAAATAAAAACAAAAAAAATACAAAAAACCTTCAAAACTCTTTCTTCCAATTTCCATAGTATTTTCTTCGAATTTGTGAAACTTAATTTGTATCCTGAGGAACAAGAAGAAGAATGTCAAACTCGAAGAATCATATGCCGTCATTGCTCAGTTACTCCGCCAAACTCGAAGCCGACTCTCCGATTCCACCACGACGCCGCCACTGCCTTTGAATGCCACCACCACTACTACAGCTTCTGAATCCACAATTTCCGTCGACCGAAAATTGCCGTAGCAGCAATTTTTTCTTTCGATCTAAAAAAAACAAAAAAAATCCACGCTCACCATTGTCACCAAATATTCTTCTCCTTTTCCTCGACCTGGCAATGAACGGGAGAGGAGCAAAACTTGTGTGATATTTTTTTCATTTTTTTTTTGTTTAAAATTGAAATTTACTTAAAACTTATCAGGGGTAGTTTAGTGATTGCATAAAAGTCAACCATCAATTTTGAAGTTAGGGGCGGTGTGCTTCGTAAAACACAACATAGGGGGGTGCTCGCTAATATTTTTAACATGGGGACTTTTTCGACAATTCGAAATTACACAGGGGGCTATGTGCAATTAGCTCATGTTATATAGGCAAAACTTTAGTGCTATTTATGAAAGAATATATTATTTACTGTAAAAAAGGTAAAAGGTTTTGTTTCTTGACAGATATTGCAACTACCTGAAGGGTTTAACTTGTAGATCCTGGAGAATACAATTGGAGCTTTTGTTATGTTGTTCATATGGTATGTGATAGAATCCTCTTTTGTTTTGGCTTATGCAATTAGAATTGATAATAATGAGTATCCCTCCTTTGTTTCTTTATTTTTATTTTTATTTTTTTGTAAAAGATTGATTCATGATGCTTTGTTTCAATATCTTGACTTGACTACGTTTATTCCAGGAATTGGTTATGAAACTTCAAATTTGTATCCGGCATTGCTAATTTTATAAACATCTTTTGGTGAAAATCGTCCTCATTTTTGTTTTCGCTATTTTGTACATTCTTGATGCATTTTATTAAAATCATATCAATTCTCATTTTATCCATACAAAGTTGTAACAATGCTTTTACGATTTTGTAACTATTTTTAAAATTATTATGACATTTTTTTGAATAGATAAATTATTATAACAATTAAATTCAATCTCTGTGGCATAAATAAATATAAACTTCGAAACACAACTAAGTGCAAAGCTCTGATTCGTTAAAAAGTGACATATTTAAACAGGTTGAGATAAGTACAGGTAAACAATTGTCTTCAAATAGTTTTGCAAGTAGAATATGTGAAAATTGTAAAAGCTTATTTTTTTTGTGTAGTGCAATAGAATATTTCAAAGATGATTCTATACTGAAAATAATTATTTTAGGGAGCTAGATTCTTTTTTACATACTTATATTTATGTGTTCTTAAGCACCGGTAATGCATGAGAAATTAAAAATAATTTTCAAGATGTCTTCTTGCATTCTTAATCTTTTTTTAGATTAACAATTTTTGCTTTAACCTTCTGCAACCAGTTTTGGGTCTTAGGCAAACAAGAGTGTATATTATTGTGCTTCATATATATATTGTGCTTCATATAATCATATTCGTTTGTTTGCGAAAGAGAAATTTTATAATAATTTTAGTTTTTTATGCTATCACTATAATTTAAATTTCACAATTTTTTTCTTTTAATATCATGTAATACCTTTTATTTTTATATATTTAAAAATTTATTCTCATTCATTTATGAATGCTACCCCGAGCAACGCACGGGGATAATTACTAGTATATAAAAGAAAGAAACGCTTGGCAACCCTAACAAAACCCTAATGGTATTTCTATAAATATTTATTTTTAATTTTTTTTTCTCTACTAACTATAATTTTTAACAATTATCAAAATTGAAACTAAACCGTGAAGAATCATATCATAATGGTTAAATCTTAATCTATATATTTGGATTATAAATCTCAATATGTAAAATTTAAAAAAACTAATGTTATATAAAATATGAATAATCTACATTATTAAATTTTACTTTTAAAATGTCAGTGTACTATATTTTCTTATTTTGTATTAAATCAATTATTTTTTCACTTTTAAAATAATATTCCGTGCATAGCACGGGAAAAAAATGCTAGTTACATTAATTTCAAGGGGTCATTGCAAATAAGCCTATCAATGGGTATTTATTCATAAAGAGATCCGGACAAAAAACTCCTTTACCAATAAGTCTACACATGATCCAGATTTTAGTAAAGGACTAAAATAACCCCTCATACTTTAATATGCTCCAATTTCATCCTTAACTTAATTTAACATCTATTTGACCCCAAATTTCAAAAACTATTCAATTTTGACCCAAAACGTTTTTTTTTTCAAAAACTTTTTTTTCCGCCGGATTTCGGCGTTGACTTTTCAATATTATTTTTTTTCTTCTTTTCTTTCTTTCTGTAACTTTTTTTTTTTAAAACATCAATATTGCTGTGATTGACAGTAATATTAACTTTATTACTGTTAAACACAGTAAAATTAACTAAACTACAGTTTAACACAATAATATTTCTATATTAATCTCTAGCACAATAATATTAACACAACAAAACTCATTATTATTGTGTAATAGAGTAATATTACTATGCTGACCGTTCAACAAATGTAAACATAATAAAAAAAATAAAAGAATTAATATTACTGTGAGTGACAGTAATATTACTATAACAATAGTAATATTACCGTCAATCACAGAAATATTACAATAATAGACAGTAATATTACTACGTTACTCCGTGAATAACTCAAACAAACAAAAAATCCAAACAAAATAATAATACTGATGTGGTTGACAACAATATTACTATAACAACAGTAATATTACTGTCAACCACGGTAATATAATTGTGTTTACAGTAATATTATTACGTTACTCCGTGAATAACTCAAACAAAACAAAAAACCCAAAAAAAAAATAATATTGATGTTGTTGACAGTAATATTATTGTGTTTACAGTTATTTACTGTCAACGACAGTAATATAATTACGTTGACTTGTCAACAAATCAAACAAAATAAAAAAAACAACAAAAAATAAAAAATAAAAATATTACATTAATTTACTGTCAACGGCAGCACAATGACATAAATGTATTGTCAACGGCAGTACAATTACGTTAATTAACTGTCATTACAGTATAATTACGTTATTTACTGTCAGTGGCAGCACAATTACGGTCAACGTTTAGCGGCGGACGTGAAAAAAAACAAAAAAAAACACTAAAAATAGTCAACGCCAGAAACCGGCAAAAAAATTCGGAAAAAAAGAAACGAAAAAAAAAAAGAAATTATTTTTTGAAAAGTCAACGCCGGAATCCGGGGGCAAAATTGTTTTTAAAAAAAAAAAGTTTTGGGTCAAAATTGAATAATTTGTTAAATTTGGAGTCAAATTGAGTTTATATTAAGTTAACGATGAAATTGGAACATATTAAAGTATGCTCCAAAAAAAAGTTAAAATTGAATTTTTGTGGTCAAATTTGGATTTTTGTGGACAAAATTGATTAAATTGGGGTTACAATTAAGAGTTGGGTATAAAAGGATTGAGGGTAATATTGGCATATATATGATGTTTTCTTTATTTATAATAAATATTAAAGGAATGAATGGGCTTATTCGTGAAAGAGATATATCCCCTAAACCTAGAATAATAAAGATGCTTGCTTGGGTACTTATGAAGAAAAAAAAACCCTAATTTCAAAAACCCACAACTCCATAGACAACTATTTCCAAAAATGCATGTGGTTTTTTTTTTTTTTTTTTTTCCCAAATCTTATGTTGTACAAGTGGACGAATGTTGTATTTCTATTGGTTGATTGATATTCAATGTTAATTTGAATTGCACACATGGGTATATTCTATGATACACGAGAATCCAGATAATTCTATGCTACACCAGATAAAGTTCACCGAGTGCCTAAGATTTTGACTTGTTACATTTTATAATTCATTAACTGTGTGTCTGTATGTCTGTATTCCACAATTACTGAACTTATTCACTCTTTTATTAATTTATCTTTCACGAGAAATTGCTTTCTTTTGGAAAACAAAAGCCCTGCAATATAAGAAATGGTCTCTTGTCGGTGAAAGTTTGCATGTGTCACCGAATTATGTCTGGTACTGTTGTATTCAACAGGTGATTTTGTTTTTTACTTACATGATTTACATAAATTATTGCCTTAAATTTTCTTCTTTTTTTCCGTACAACACACTTTCACTACAAAAGATAGAGATAAGGAATGTCATAAATAACAATAAAATCAAACTCAGCGACTAATTAACAGTTAACGAATCGATCTTTGATTTTCTGTAGCTTTGCCAGAGCTTCATTCATAGTTATCCTATCACCTGAAGATTCCGCACAACAATTCAAAGCCAACTCCAGTATCGACGACACACATTGCACCTTTTTCTCAAAGCCATGTCCGTTTTCGAGGTTTAATAAATTAGCATCTATAACCTCACTTGATGACTCATTATTAAGTGAGCTTTGAACCCAACTTTTTAAGGTTAGATCTCCACCAAACATTTCATCGCTCGGCCTTTTTCTCGTAAAGGTTTCCATCACCATCACTCCGTAGCTATAAACATCGCACCATGTCGAAACTAGCCCTTCCAAACCATACTCTACACAACAACAGTCGTATAATTCAATAATTTTAAAGTGAAATACTAATCGAAAATATATAAAAATAAAATGACTGAAAGTGAGAATATTAACTAACCTGGTGCAATGTAACCCACTGTTGCTAGGGTGTTGGTGTGCACAGTGCTCTCACCTTCGCCAAACAATTTTGCTATCCCGAAATCAGTGACACGGGCGACCATTTCTTCATTTAACAACACGTTGCTTGGCTTCAGATCACAATGAACAATTGGTGTCGCATAGCCATGGTGAAGATATTCTAATGCACATGCAACATCAATCATTATATTCAATCTTTGCATGATATCCAAGCAATAGTTATGAGAATATAACCATTGGTCGAGGTTTCCATTCGGCATGTATTCAAGTACTAGTGCATTGAAATCCTCGTTTGAGCAACTGCTAATGACTTTGATGAGATTTCTGTGACGGACGTTGCGTAGTATCTCACATTCGACATCAAAGCTCTTAGAAGCAGTTTGCGAAAGTGAATTGAACACCTTCACAGCCAAAATTTTCCCATCTTTTAGAATACCTTTATAAACAGAACCAAACCCCCCACAGCCTAGTAAATTCGTCTCGCTGAAGTGTTCGGTTGCTTGTAGGATTTCATAATAGGAAATTCTTTCTGGTGCAGTAGACAAAAGCCCGTCAAGTCCATTGCTTGCTTCATCTTTCCTTCTGTATCTAATCAAGATGATGTAGGCCAAAAAGGCGAGCGAGATGAATGCAACAATCCCAGAAAGAATAAATAAAGCAAAATGCGCCCTTTTCATCTTTGGCCTGTGATTGGAAATATTACGACAAAGAGAGACATTGAACCTTGGAATTCCACACAATGCGTCATTGCCCTTAAAAGATTCCATAGTGAAGTTTGTGAAAGGACCACCATTGGGAATTTCACCTCTCAAACGATTGAAAGAGACATTAAAGTAAATGAGATATTTAAGTGTCTCCAAGGACTTTGGGATCGAACCAGAGAGGTTATTGTTCGACAAGTCTGCAACTTCTAAACTTATCATGCTCCCCATCGACTCAGGAATAGTACCTTCCAGCCGATTATGTGCCAAATACAACTTAGCCAATGATATTAAATTTCCGACTGTGCTTGGAATAGACTCCGACAACTGGTTCATTGATAGATTGATCCGTGTTACCGACACTAAATTACCTATTTCTAGAGGTATAATTCCACTAATAAAATTCGAGGACAAGTCTAGGTGCAGTAAATCTGTGAGGCGCCACAGGGTTGATGGTATGCTTGAATTCAACATGTTGGAATATAGATAGAGATATCTTAAAGATGTGATATTTTCTAAACATTCGGGTATTTGACCGGAAAATTTATTTCGACCTAAAAATAAGTAAACCAAGTTGTGTAACTCACAAAGACCATTTGGAATGGAGCCTCTCATATTGTTGTTAAATAAATATAATCCTTGAAGCTTCTGCAGGTGGTTGACAGTAGGTGGAATGTTACCAGACAACTCGTTGTCCATTAAAGAAAGTCTCACTAGGTTGCTTAAATTGCCGATTTCCGGAGGGATAATACCCTTTATTTGACAATTGTAGGCACTTAAGCCTTGCAACGAGGTAGATAAATTCCCAATGGAAGCTGGAAAGAAGCCACCTAAAGGATTATCACCAATTGCGAGCACATTCAGAGATACGCAATTAGTCAATGAAGTTATGAAGCTCAATTCCGAAGAAGTTGATTTTGTCCTTAGATGGTTGCCGAACAGGGATAAATATTCAAGGCTTCTTAGGTTACCGAGCAAATGAGGTACAAAACCAGTGAAGTTGTTATCACTTAGTTCGAGAATTCTGAGTTTGGAACAGTTAGTGATAGAATCGGGTATTGCTCCAGTGATGTCATTTATTCCGAGGTAAAGTTCTTCAATAGCGGGTAACCAGTGATCAAAATTAGTTGGAAGACTACCCGACAAACTATTAGCTGTAAGACTAAGAACTCGGAGATTTGACATGTTAAAGAGCTCTAATGGAATAAAACCAGTGAAGTTGTTATTGTTTAAAAGTAATTTTTTGATTTGGTAAAGTTTGCCGATTTCTCGCGGTATACTACCTGTCCAAGATATGAAAAATTAAACATTACAACTATAGAGAAATAGATAATATTTTGAAAGTCTTCCAATATAATATATTTTCTCAGTCGAACCTGTGAACTTGTTATTTGTGACTTCCAAGACTTTGAGCGTTGTGAGATTCCCGACATCTTTTGGGAGGTTTCCGGACAGTTGATTGTCATATAGTAGTACACGTTCGAGAGAAGAAATAGTGAACATACTAGCGGGAATTGTGCCACTAATCTGGTTTCCTTCAATCGCAAACTGAACTAGGTTCTCAAGATTCCCAATCTCGGACGGGATAACACCTATGAAATAAATATATATTCTCGAATTAAATTGCAATAATGGAGCTTGAATTCTTAAGCAAGAAACAAACATAAAAAAAAATATATATTATAGCATAGTATTATACCATTTAAGTTGTTACCCCCGAGAAATAAAATGCGAAGAAATTTTAACTTGCCAATTGCTTTTGGTATTTGCCCACTAAATGAGTTGTAGGACAGTGATATTTCTCGAAGTTGTGAACATTCGGGTAGACTTGACGGGATTTCGCCACTCAGCTTATTAGAAGATAGGTAAATTACTTGAACAAGTGGAAGATGATTGCACAAGTCATTTGGAAGGATACCACTCAACTCATTATTTGCGAAAGATATAGACTCCAGAGTTGATATGTTGAATATGGATGATGGTATATGACCCGAGAGACGATTGTACGCAAAACCAACGACTCGTAGATTTGTCAGATTAGAGAGAGAAGTTGGAATGGAACCGGTAAAGCTGTTATTCCGTAGAGATAGATGCTCGAGTCTAGTTAAAAGACCCAACCACGGTGGAATCTCTCCACTCAAGCTATTTACTCTGAAAGAAATAAACTTCAATCTGTGTAGAAGAGACAACTGTTGAGGAAGAACACCACCGAAAAGATTGAAACTAAAATCGAGCGAAACAAGGAAGGAAAGGTTTCCTAGTTGCGGTGGAATGGTGCCTGCGAGACCCATGTGGGAAATATTCACCGCGGTTACTCGATTATGGCGCAAGCTGCCGCACGTGATGCCGATCCAGCTGCAGACATAGCTTGAGTCGGTCCAATTGCTTGTAATAATACGATAAGGGTCCAATGTGATGCGAGATTTTAGGACAAGAAGAGAAGATTGATCTGTGATGAGGTTGTGGATATTTTTGGAGCTTAAGGCTAGACCGTGCATTTGGCTGATCATTAGTAGGAATGTATACGCAGCAAGAGTGCAATAACATCTTTTCTCCATCACTCTGTGCTTCTTCTATATATTATGGTTGTTTGTCTAAGCTGAATAATTCTACTATATATATATATATATATATATATATATATATTGAAATTCCAAACTGAATTATTGCTAGATAATTATTGATGGTCTGGTCCATCAGCTCAAATCATTCACACATGATATATACTTTACTTTTTTATGCTTTTTCACGTGCTCGTCTTTTTCCCCTTTCTATCTTTTAGCAAGATTGATTGACACCATTGACGGAGACACACGAGAACTTTACCAGGAATGACCATTTGTGTTTGTGTTCAATGTAGAATTTACACATCAATACGATTTACTTTACGTAGATTTTTTTGTTCAGTGTAGAATTATATTCGTACTTTAATTGATAGATTTTGTGTTTTATAGCTGAAAATCGAGAATTAAGTGTCCATGAAGGGAAAATGATCAAAAAGAAAGGAACAAAAAATTGCAATGAAGGAATTAAAATTATATTGGAAGAAAGAAGCCCATAACAGATTTGGCAGTGTCTACTATTTCTAGCATATCTCTCTCATTCGGGCTCCAAATCACCTGATTTTAGCGGCACTGAAAAGCTATTTCAACGAAATATAATTACTATCTCACACTATTTACCCGAATTAAGACTCTAACACGGTTAGAATCGGGTAACAAATCATACTTTAAACTTTAAAAAGTATTCCTATTAGTGAGTGAATAGTGAATAAAGATGCTTTAATGCTTCGAAAAAAATTGTGGGAATTATGGAGCATATAGCGATCGCCAAAAAAAATACTATAATCTGGTAAAAGAGTAATTATATCCTACAAAGTTTGTGGACAAGCCGCATTCGGGTCATATTTTTATTATTAGTATTTTCGATCATCTTCCAATTTTCTTGAATCTTTTTATTTTTGGGTTTCAAGTATTTGGAAATCGTGTTTCGTACAAGAATTATGTTGATCAAATCATAGCATATATATTCTGTACGAGGTATGAAAGTGTTGTTTCATAGGAGTTGCATATAGTAATTCCTTTTTAGATCTTTACAAGTAATTCTTGTCACAGGTAAGTAATTTACATACATATATGTAGTATGTTCATCTTAAGTTTCGATTGATTTCAAGCCGTAGGATAAGAAGCTTGCATGGCAATGCCACATAGACCTTCAGCAGCATCGATGTCCCTTTGCATTCGAATGTATCCGTTTTCGCCCCAACTACTTCCCCACGAGTTCTTAACTAACCAATACTTTGTTCCATCACTAGTTACTCCATACCCAACCGCCGTCACACCATGGTCAAGTTCAGTTCCACACTGTCCACTAAAAACTCCACCCGAGTAAAATTGAAAATCAGATCCACTAGCATCGATTGCAACTGATATTGGTTGGTTAGCCACAGCTTTGAGCAATGCCGATTCGCTATTGGCTGGAACATCCTCGTACCCTGTGATTTTTGCCACGTGTGAGGATTCCTTCTTTGAGTTGCATGTGCCGTCTACTCCTTCGTACGGGTAGTTGGACTCGGTAGTGAGTCCGTTATTACTGATAATGAACTCAAATGCATTGTCCATTAGACCGCCATTACATCCTTGATCTTCACTTGTGTCACAATCCACCAGTTCTTGTTCGGATAACGAGATTAGCTTCCCCGTTTTGAGTTGGTTTAGTCCTTCTGTGGCTGCTACAGCTGAAAATGCCCAACAACATCCTGTATTTTTCGTTTATGAAAATTAGCTTTTTGAAATTAAACAATTTATCAAGAATTAATTTTTAATTTGACTTACCACATTGGCCTTGGTCCTTAACAGGAGTAACAGCTCCCTTCTTAGTCCAGTCAATGCTCGGTGGAACTGCACTAACATTTCCATACCTAAACGATGAAACTTCAAATGATGACTTAATTGATTGAGATCCCATTTTGAATCCATTTCGAGATGCTTTAAATTCATCGCTTGTTAAATCAGCAAATTTGTTGATGGCAAGTTTGTAAGTCCGATTTTCGGCTTCATCAACGGACTGGATATACTCAACATTTTGCTTGAATATTTTATAACGAAAGGCTTTTTCTGCATCGTCTTTGTAAGTACGGCCATATTGCAGCATCCATTGCTCGTGTTTTTCGATCATTGATTTGTGAGGCAATGTGCGGGCTGTGGATTGAGAAGCCCACATTTCCAACACCAACAGTGCAGCTAAAATAAACCTCCAATTAGGCGACAAGGCCATTTTTCAGCTAGATGGATATATATGGTATTAAATGTATTGAAATTATGTTGATGAGAAAATATTGATGTGAATACTGCTGTTGTAACACATGAGGTATTTATAGAAAAATCATTGAGTTCAATTCTTCTCCAGAACTCCCTGGAAAACCCGGCAAGTTAACGAAAATCATAAAGTTCCGTAGAGGCTGCTCCATATTGAATCAACTTCATATTTTATCATTTATTTTTTGTACTATTCTCATGAAATCCTCAAGTGTTTCGAATCATTAGAAATTAAATTAAAGATATTAATTTTTTTTTTTTTAAATCTAAATTAGCTTTCATTTTCTTGAATGTTTCTTTGGACTTGTCTGGGCATGCAGAATGATTCTTGGGTCCTTGTACAACTTTGTTTAATTAATGAGCAATACAAAGTTGAGAGCTAATAGCACCAAACCCCCTGTGTTATTTCTAATTGCCGAAAACCCCTCTATGTTACAAAAATTAGCAAGGATCTCCTTAAGTCATGTTTGGTATTGCAAACCGCCCCTTATTCGCCATTTGATTGTTGACTTAATTAAAATGACTATAATACCCCTAGCGCATAAAACACTAATATACCCAAAACACAAACTTTTATTCAATTTTTATTAATAAATTTAAATTCATCAATTAAATACCTTCTTCTTCCAACCATTTCTTCCACCGCCCCAAATGTATCTCGCAAGTTCGTGGTCAATAAAACACCAACTCAATCATCGGAAAACACGACGGTGCCTCACCGGAGGAATCAAACTCCGATGGTGTCGTTCGAGATTTTCCCTTTCATATCGTAATTCGTACCCTACCCTGGCCTTCTCTTCCCAATCATCATCTTTTTTGCGCCACCATCTTCACCGAGGTCAACCCATTTGGAGCAGAATATCGTGAGAACAAAAGAGTATATCGGGGTTGTTATGCTGCAAAAAAAATTGGTTTTCTGGGCAATTTTTTGAAAATTTCAGTTGGGATTTTTATTATGGAATTTCTGAGGGTTCACGGAAAAAGCTTAAAGCTTAGGTCTTGCAAATTTTTCCGACCCTTCCCTTGGTTTGGTTTGATGTAGAAAAGAGCTTCAAGCTCAGAATGTCGGTTGACTTTTTGCTGGAAATAACATGAAGGAAGGGAGTGATCTGTCTAAGAAGAAATTCCGCCAAAAAAAATTGACGGAAAAGCATCCGGAATAACGTATCTTTTGGTCAATTTCCAACAAAGAGGCGCCATCGGAGCAGGATTTTGTGTGTGTGGTGCATGAAAATGGTGGAGAGTTTAAACGGGAAGGAGGTGATTTGGGGAGAGAGCATTTTGAAATTGCCAAGGACTGAATTGAAAATTTTGGTGTAATTAAAATTTTGTGGTTGATTTGTAATTTCAGTTTTTTTATTTAAAGGATATGTAGGTCTTTTCAGGTCAGAACACGCACCCCCATCCGCACAATCCGGGCGTGCAGAACACACAATAAGCCGTTAGGGACCTTATTGGCTTTGACTAACTTTCATAGGGGAGTCAGTGCTAATTTTTTTTAACACAATGAGTTTTTCAGCAATTAGAAATTACACAAGGGTGGTTCTTGCAAAAAACACCACAAGTTGATTCCAATTTTTTCAGGTCGACTCAATAATCAATATTCAAAGATTACACCTATATACTAATGTTGGAAAATGTACAACAACCTAAGCACAGTGTACAATTGGATTGATCAGTGATTATGTACAGAGAGTAACACGCCGATTAAATCATGGATTGTATAACCACATGGAAATATTATTATTTCACTTAAAAGTGTGGTTACACATCTCTATGAAATTGTATTTCTTATAGGCTAAATTACAACCACCCCTAAGGTATGGTCAAATTACGAAAAACCCCCTCCTATTTGGGTAATTACAACCACCCCTCAACTATAAAATATAGTGAAATCTTCTAAATTATATGGAATATTATCACTTTTGTACTCGTTTTATCCCATTCGAACTCCACATTTTGAAGCAAGATGATCATAATATGTATTTTTTGGTTTGTATATATCAGATTGTGATGCATCGGAAACTGTATTTTTACACAAAATGAGTACAAACTAGAGCACAATTCCACGAAATCTAGATGATTATGTTGAATTTGATACCATAAGGGTGGAGGTGTAAGAAAAAATCATAGTTGAGGGGTAAATGTAATTATCCAAACAAGAGGGGTTTTCTTGTAAATTGACCATACCTCAGGGGTGGTTGTAATTTATCCTTTCTTATATAACTCTTACTACTAAAAAACAACAGAGGCAAATTTTCATTTAAGAAATTAAATTGTGGTAGTGTGATGTCAAGTGCTCGCTCCGTGATTTCATTTTTGGACATTTGCTTATTGAACACGGATTTGGTTCCTTCAACACAAAGAGCCTCTTCGTCGGGAAGTGGTATAGGATTGGCGGCTTGTTTGCTCTTTCCTTTGTTTTGTGTACACGATTTTGCCGAATTGTGGTTTATTTTTTGCCGACATGCTTTGGAGACGAGTAGAGGAAGAATGGAGAGGATTTATGGTACGAAAATTACCCCAAAATGTGGTTCAAACACTTGGGTGTATGACTAGGGGTGGAAATCGGACGGAATGAATCGGAAATGCCTTTTTCGGAAATTTTCCAATTTTTTTCGGAAGTTAAAAATAGATTCCAATTTTCGTTCCAAAAAAATCGGAATTTCAAAATCCATTCCAATTTTGGAATACCTCGGAATGCATGGAATTTCGGAATTTTCGGAAATTGCATTAATTCTTAATTGTTTGTTCCAAAATCGGAAATAATGGA